TAAGGAATTAGGTTCAAGGTCCATTTTCTCCGCATGGTAGCAGAGAAAGTCATCCCTAATCTTGGTTTACCCATATGTTGGGCCCTTATGCTATATTGTCTATGCACCAGATGTTCAGTCGTGGGCGTGTAGGAATGAGGGTGTTAAGTGTCCCATATTGGTTGAGGGGATGGCTATTGTCTCCTATATGTTCGTGGGGGCGATCCTCGTCTCATGAGCTAGCTTTTAAGATTGAATTAGACCCAATGTCCATGTTTTTATCAGTACCCAGTGCAGGTAATTGAATGCTAAAAATATGAGTGTTCTGTCTTCCACAATATTGTGATTGCTGTTGCAGTTATCTGCAGATAATATATTTCGATAAGGTCAATATGCAAGAGCTCTACCCTTCTCAAAAAGAAATATGCTGGAGCTCTAATGATTATTTCCTGCTTCCTAGTTGCTACCGTTATTAATCTGTTGGGATTTGACTGTTATTTTTGCCTTTTGATTTCACTAGATACTTGTTTGAACTGGCAAATGAATTTCTTTAGCCATGACCCAATATACCTCGACTTTGGACTATTGGGTATGTGTCAGGGAAGAGGGATCCGCCTTTCTATTTTTTGATGGGTTGGTTTCTAGCAATGGAAAAAGTTAATCACATTCTAGAGTTTTCTGATACTTTGGGATTTAAGAGAAATACCTACTGTTATGAATGAATATATTATGCAGAAATCCGATAGATGAAAGCTGCTCAGATAGTAATTTTACATGAACATGCATTTTGCCTCTTAAAACTTTAAGTGCGTTTACTGGTTAGCTTCTGGTGGTTTAGGTAAGAGTAAGACACTGAAATATTACTCCCTTTTATGGGTTTTCCTTTGATTGCACTGGAAAGCATTGCTTTTTGAAATTTGGCTATCTCCAAGACTTAAACAGTTGTGCTTCAGCGTTGCATATGCATTATGTGTTTTCTGTGTTTCTGTGGTAGCTAAAATATTTCAGATCCTAGATGGATTGCAATGTATGTCTTCTGGACCTTTTGAGGAAGTTGGGAACAATTTCATTTATCTTCTTATGATCATCCTTTTACCAACTAGATAATGGTAAAAAGTTGATCTGTCATGAACTCATGTTTTTCCCTTTCTAATGATATATTGTTAAGAGCCCGTTTGGACATAAGAAATTTTTTCCTTTTTTCCAAAAAGTTCTCACTTTTTTCCGAAATCAACGTTTGTTCATAAAATTTTCAATTTTTACGTGAAGATGCATTTTGGAAATTTTCGAAAATTTGAAAAACTCCAAAAAACTGTTTTCCAAAATTTTCATTCAAATCACTCACAAAACTTCAAAAACAACCCAAAATTATATTCATGTCCAAACACAACTCTAAATTTCAAATACCATTTTCACTTGAAATTTTTTTTCACCCTATTTTGGAATTTTCCAATTCTTATGTCCAAATGCCCACTAAATATCTTCAGGTTATTGCAAACCGAGCAGCTGAAATACTTGGCCATAAGCGCGGTGACAAGCATGTGCATCCAAATGACCATGTAAATAGATCGCAATCTTCAAATGATACCTTTCCTACGGTAAGCCTCCTTTAATGTTACTTTTGTTGCAAGATATGTTGCTATTCTTTTTACAAAATTATGCTGACTTCTTAGTAATGGTTATTCTTTTTCATGTGTAGGTGATGCATATTGCTGCGGCAATGGAGCTAAATAAAAGATTAGTACCAAACCTGAAACAGTTGCATACTTCACTACATTCAAAGGTTGACTATTGAGTTATTTTACTTGTATAGTTTTAAAATAATATATAATAAACTCCCCTCCCCCTCCCCCCCCCCCCTCCCCCCCCAAAAAAAAAAAAAAACTGTTCCGATAAGTTTTGAAATACTTTATACAGCATTATGTGGTTCTTGTGTTATGCTATTCTGCTTGCTCAATTACATATATGCCAGATCTATTGGTTCACAATGTTGCAATTCATGCTTATTCTGTCATTAATGCTCAAAAGGGAGCAAGTTGCCCTTTCTTTACTTATATTGCGAAATGGTGAATTTGGTTGAGCATTATGATGAGGATAAATTAAGAAAAATCAAGACAGTATCACAAGAAAAGTCAGAGACACTAAAAAGATTGATTAGATCAGAGCATTATGATGTATCCATCTTCTGTTGGCCTATCTGGAATTATTTATGCCTTTTGATTAGATTCTGCTATACAATACCATTAAATCAAATCAAATGTGCAGTTCAATCTTTTGGAATGCCTTTACAGGACAACAAAGATAAAACAACAACCTCTTTCTCTTTGTTGAACACATTAATTATCTTCAAGTTAATGTTGTTTGCCCAAATGTCGAAGAATTACTATGCTTTTGGATGCGATCCTATCTCACAGGCTGATTATCTTAATTGCCAATCTAAATTTGATCTTCAAGGCTAATGCTAATATTATCAGAGCAGCTAAGTCATGTTATTTGAGTCATTTGCTATTTTGATTCAAATTCTGCTGCTTGCCTTGGCATCTAGTCAATAGATGCTCTCACAAAATCTTCTCAATTTGTCACACTTCTGTAATATTACTATTAATTCTTTGTAACTAAGCCACTTTCCTATCCAATTACTTTTACCAGTCAGTCGAATTCAAGGACATTATTAAGATCGGGCGAACCCACACACAAGATGCAACCCCTTTGACTCTTGGACAAGAGTTTAGTGGGTATGCTACTCAAGTAAGCTCTATTCACTTCCAGCATTTTTAAATGCTAAAGTTGTTACTACAAGTAGAGAAAGATTCTTCACCTTGGTTTGCCTTAAAGTGTTCTTTGCTGTTGTAGGTGAAATATGGAATTGACCGTGTCTTGTGCACCCTTCCAAACATGTATCAGGTTCTTTCTCAACCCTTTACTTTCCTTTACTTTCCTTGTTCCTCCTTTTGTCCTGTTTTAACTGATAACAGCTTCATTGAGCAGCTCGCACAAGGAGGCACAGCAGTGGGGACAGGACTCAATACAAAGAAAGGGTAAGTGTTCCAGTATTAAGATTGGGTTGTGGTCAATTTCAGCCACCTAATCTCCATTATTGGTATGCAAAGGTGGAGGGAGCATTCTAGCTGCCCAGTCCTTTAAATTTGTTTTCGTAATATCTCTTATTGTGTCATCCTTTCATATATCCAACTTCAGCCATGCCATATGTTTTGAGTTGTGGTTATATTATGTTCATTCTCCATAGGTTTGACATTAAAATTGCTGCAGCAGTGGCAGAGGAAACTAACTTGCCATTTGTAACAGCTGAAAACAAGTTTGAAGCACTGGTAATCTCATGATTCTTGAGTGTATTGTTTGTGAATTGGAGGTTCTGGTTGCTTGCTCATTGTTTAGATATAATACGCGGGCAATCGCAACTGATGTTTAGTGTTTAACAATTGTGGCAATGGCAGGCTGCTCATGATGCATTTGTTGAAACCAGTGGAGCTATAAATACGGTAGCTGCTTCCCTCATGAAGGTTGGGAATGATATACGCTTTTTGGGAAGGTATGCGTTTCATATGTATTATTTCCTCAGTAGGTTGCTATCTTTTGGAGACGTCAAAGCTTAGAAGGATGTATGTTTTCCATGGATTATATGATTTTTTCAAATTACTTTCATTTGGAGGATTTACATCCTTTTTTATTCAGTGGTCCCCGCTGTGGTCTTGGGGAGCTCATTCTTCCCGAAAATGAACCTGGAAGCAGTATAATGCCGGTAACTTTATTTCCTTTGTATCTGTTGAAAGACTATGTATGCATCCTCTTGTCATTTTTAACCTTTCTACCCAATCTAAAAAATGACTTCCATTTCAGGGCAAGGTGAATCCTACTCAGTGTGAGGCTCTCACGATGGTCTGTGCTCAGGTAATATATCTGTCTAATGGATGATGTAATCAAATTGTCTTAAGCTTATGTTTTGACTTTCTAATATGCTTCTCCAGAGTAATTGCACCTTGATTTCTAATGCATGACATTTATACAATTGGGTCTACGCTAGTTGTTTGTTTTCAAGTTTAATGGTTGAACCTTTTATGAGCTGCAGGTTATGGGTAATCATGTGGCTGTCACAATTGGTGGATCAAATGGCCATTTTGAGCTGAATGTTTTCAAGCCTATTATTGCTAATGCCCTTCTACATGTATGATCTGCCATTCTTTTTTGTTTTCTTTCTGTTAATACTAAATTAGAATTAATGGTATGCATTTTCAAGTATAAGCTACTGTCAGAGTGAAGCATGGAACTATAAGATGTTTGCCAGCAGTTAACCGCGCTGACTTTTATGTTCTCACCCAGGCAATAGATGTGGGATGGGGTGGGGTGAAGTCTGTTTTATCTCTGATTGTGACTAATTTGTGGTTTCTACACCTCTCCGTTCTTCCTGCAAATTCTGCAAATTTAAAAAGCATGTGCTTTCATCAGTGTTTTAGTACCATTCATAGTTTAGATGCACCATATGTGTGATGCTGTAGTCTAAAGCAGTTAAGTATGTACCTTATAAAAAAAAAGCAGTTAAGTCTGCATCTACTGCTTGCTGCCTTTTTACTTCCCAAGGCTGACATACCTCTCTTTTTCTGTCATGTGTAGTCAGTAAGATTGATAGGGGATGCATCCGCTTCTTTTGAAAAGAATTGTGTGAGGGGTATTCAAGCTAACAGAGAGAGGATTGCTAAATTGTTGCACGAGGTCAGTTACTGTGTATCTGATAAACTAACCTTGGTACCCTCTTCTACTTTACAAGTTTTAAGCTCTATTTTATTGATCTCATTTCGTGTATAACTTTGCAGTCGCTCATGCTTGTCACATGTTTGAACCCAGTAAGTATTCCATCTACTTGTTCAAAGTACATGCTTACCTGCAGTAATTTTTACTCCTGCTTTTCCCGCATAGTTGGGACTGAACTGACAAGAACGATTTAAACCTGAAGAAATTTTACTGATTGCTGATATGCTTGCTGTCTATTTCAGAAAATTGGTTATGATAATGCTGCTGCAGTTGCCAAGAAAGCCCATAAGGAGGGAACCAGTTTGAAGGTAATGATATTTGTTAATTATGTTTAGGGCATCAAAAAATTTTTCTTAATAAAAAATTGACGTATATTTAAATCTGCAGGATGCTGCTCTCAATCTAGGAGTCCTCAAATCTGAAGAGTTTGATGAACTTGTAGTTCCCGAGAAAATGATTGGTCCAACTGACTGATCAGCTCCATTAGTTCTATCAAATGAGAGAGAGGACCATGGCTGTAGGTGCACCATATTAGCTGCTTTCGTCCATCAAATGCAACTAGGAAATAAAATATTTAACGCAATTCTTGAGGTTTTGCTCATTCCTTGCAATTTATCAGGGGGAAATGCCTCCATTTTTTGTAATAAGATCCCGAGCTACAGCGAAGTAAATAATGGACTGAATCATTCATCTTACCATTTGCTGTCGTGATTGACGGGGTACTCTTTTCATGTTCTATCTATGTGTCTTTTGAGGGCATTTCATTCCAAGAAATACCTTTTTCATTTGACACTATATCCTGGTAAGAAATAAATAAAGGTGTTGATTTGAAAAACATTATATACTTGTTTTGAAAACGATACTCTTGTCTTGGTCGTGCCGTGGACTTCTTTCTCCCTTTACTGACCCAAAAAGTAGGGGTGGACATTCGGGCAGTTCAGATTGGACATGAAAATTTTGATTTAGATTTTTAATTTTCGGATTGAAGAACTTACAATACAAACAAGATCGGATTGCATCTGATTTTTTAAATTTGACTTTGGATTATTTGGATTGGATATTTCAAATTTTGGTTTTGAGCCGATAAACTGAGATTCTACTTACAAAAAAGGAACATCCAAGTAAAGTATTCATATCAAATTATCTTAGTATTTCCTCATTCCCACCATAATCGTTCAAATAAAGTATTCTTGCAAGCAGAAAAATCATTATTAAGGAAATGCAAAAGATGCATTAATAAGGCCCTACGAATTAACAAGTCAAACCTAATAATACCATGTCAAATTAGATACTTCCTCCGTTTCAATTTAGATAAGGGAGTTTTACTCGGCACGAAATTTAAAAAAAAAAGAAAAAAAAGACTTTTAAAACTTGTGGTCTTAAAAGCTTAAGGGGTAAAAGTTTTGTGGGGTCATGACATTTGTGTGGTTATAAAAACTTTTCATTAAGGGTAAATGGGTAAAAAAAAAGAGTTTAAAGTTAAATTATTTCTAAATTTAGAAATGTGTCATGTACTTTGGAACAAACTAAAAAGAAAGTACCTCATCTAATTTGAAACGGAGGGAATAGTAACTAGGGATAGCAACGGGGTGGTGTGAGTGCGAAGTGGTGCGGGTTAGAGGGCATGCGGGGTGGGTTATAGGATATGCGGGTGCGCGGCGAGGCGGATTCAAACATCTTTTAACAAAATATGCGGGAGCGGGGCGGGTTGCGGTTGTGATCGTGCTCAATGTCTTTTGAACAATTCCTCACTTGTTTGGTTGAATGGTTCTTTAGCTTGAAACTTACCAAAAGTTTTTTTTTTCTTTTTCTTTCTGTAATAGAGCAAAATTCTTAAAATAATAACTATCCGAAAACTTAATCAAAAGTTATTTCTGAAATGTTATTCCAAAAGATTATTCAAACAACTCATCTATGTGAAAATCATTAGTCCTATGACTACCCGCCCCAGAATTTCGAAGATTTTGTAGTAACAAAACGTAAGAAAAGTTTACCAACGTGGAATATTTCATTGTAATTATTAATTAGACTGCAACTTAATTTCAGTGTTAATTATTACAATCACAGTGTAGGCATGTAAATTTTATTAAAATTAAATCCATGAAATAATTTGGACTATAATTTAAATTCAAGATATATTGGTTCAAATAAATATATGGGCTAATATAATTGAATTAATTATATAAGTCCAATATATATGGATTAAATAAATAAGTCTTAACTTTATAGGAGCGAAGGACTCATGAGGGCACACTTTGAGTCCCAAACTTTCTGTCTGAAGCAAATGCTGGAAGAAGAATTGCTGCTTTCAAGCGTGAACCAGGTTCAGGATTCAGACTAGGAATTGCTATTTTATCCGACCTATTCTCTCTCAATTGCCTATCCTTTCTAGATGAGTGGGAGTCCCTTAGCAGTAGCTTCCAACACTTAAGATTGACCTCCTCAAGTGCCAGATATGAATGTTTTATGAATTTCATACGGGACTACTTACTTACCTAAAGTTCACTTTTGGCTTATCCATTGGGCTAGCCCATTTAATTGGGCTAAAGTGGTGAGCCCACTTCATTAAGCCCAAGATGTCATCTTCCTAGAGGCCCAGTTTGGCGCCACGTGTCAAATGACGTGGCACGCCAAGTCAAACGGAAGAGCCAATAGGATCATGCCATGTGTCAAAATGACAAGGCATGCCAAGTCACACTAAAAGGCCAATGAAATCGTGCCACGTGTGCAAGTGACATGTTCTGGCCAATTAAATGTGGCCATGTCACACTTCAATTTGATTGGTCGGAAAGAGTTTGTTCTTATCACAACTCTTCCCTTCCACAACTATAAATAGGGGTCTTCATAACTTAGAAAAGACACCAGAAGATATAACAAGAAGCAAGAAAGAGCTCGTGGATCAAACACTGCAAATTCCTCCACAAGTTTCAAGCTTCAAGCTTCAAGTTCAAGAAATCAAGTTCAAGTTCAAGAACGAAGAACAAATCAAGTATTCAAGATAAAAAACAAAGTCAAATCAAATACAAGGCGTTCATGATCAAGGCTACTTGTTCGTGATAAAATTCGTGGCAACAATCAAATTGTTCGCGACGGATAAATCAAATTCAAATTCAAGATCAAGCTCAAAGGCCCTTGAATTTATACTAGAAAAGTAGAATCAGAGGAACCATAGAGATTGTACACTCAAATATTTAAAATAAAATACTACGATTGTTGCGATATTTTTTCGGCTTGATTTTATTTTCTCGACGCAAATTTATTGTCTACACACAGTACATATCACAAAGATTGCAAATCATAATCCATAAGTAACATTAAAATCATTCTCTTTCTTGATTCTTTTTAAAATAAGGGAAATTCAGCTTGTAGCTTTTTAAGGAAATTACCCCGCTCGCGAAACATACATACGACACAGTTACACATAGATTTTAATAAGCAAACTCAATCTCGCTCCCTCTCAAGGCAAACAATAAACATAAATCAATAACAATATCAACAAGACATGATGTAAGCCTAAAACTACCCGGACATTGGCATAGCTAGTAGCTACGTACGGACTCTCGTCACCTCGTGCGTATGTAGCTCCCGCAAATAGAAGCACACAAAAATTTAGTTCACATATGGGGTTAATTCCCTCTTGCAAGGTTAGAAAGGAGACTTACCTCGCTCTGAAGTTCCATGACCGGCTCCAACGCCACTCTAACACTTCAAACCAATGCCCAACGCTCCAACACTAGCCAAATAATGGACAAACTAATGAAAATACACTCTAATACTTATAACAATTCGATTTAAACAAATTCCCAACTCCGCTTGAAAAGTCGATAAAAATCACCCTCGCGCACACGTGCCCAGATTCCGAAATTTTTCGAAGATAAACTTTACCCATAACCCCACGAACTCAAACATATGATTTATACTCAATTCCATACCCAAATCGTGGTCGAAATCCAAATATACCAATTTTCTAGGTTTCTACCAAAACTCCACAATTTCTACAATTTTCCATGTTCAAATCCTTATACAAACCATGTATTTTAACTTGAAATAGGTGGGAATCACTAACCTTGACATAGATGACGAAAATCTCCCTTCCAAGAGCTCCAAAAATCATCCAACCAATTGAAAAATGGAGGAAAAACGGCAAAATCCCGTCTTTAAAATAACACTGCCCAACACTGCCCTTCTTCACGTTTGCGATCATAGCCTCGCGTTCGCGAAGGCTCTAAATCTCCCTTGCTTCGAGTTCGCGGTTGGAGCTCCGCGTTCGCGAAGGCTAATGGCTCCAGGTCCTCCAGGCCCCCTTCCCTCTTCGCGTTGCCGTACCCTTGGCCGCGTTCGCGAAGGCTTACCCAGCTCCTGCCTTGCGTTCGCATCCATTGCCTTGCGTTCGCGAAGGCCAAATCCCAACTGCCTCAAAGTTCCTCTTCGCGAACGCGGGACTCCCTTCGCGTTCGCGAAGAAGGAAACCAGATACAACAACAACATCAACAAATCACGGAATTTGGTCCGGAAACCACCCCAAAACACACCCGAGGCTTCTGGGACTCCATCCAATCGCACAAACCACTCCCATAATAACACGGACCTGCTTGAGACCTCAAATCACATCAAACAACGCTAAAACCATGAATCTCACTCCAATTCAAGTTTAATGAACTTTAGAATTTCAAACTGCTACATTCGATGCCGAAACCTATCAAATCATGTCCGATTGACCTCAAATTTTGCACACAAGTCACATTCGATATTATGGACCTACTCCAACTTCCAGAATCAGAATCTAATGATAGGCTATAATTACATATTTTAGTCGCTTATTACACTCTTATTTACTGCACTTTAATTGAGTTTGAGCTTTAATCCCTAGTATTTTGCACTAATTGTCTATTTTATGCCTTGTAGGAGTTACTCAGAGATACGTAGATATTATGGAATGAATTCAAGTGATTTGGAGCTTTGAAGTCTGAGTAAAAGCCCAAGGAATTAAGCCGGGATCATGTTCGGGGATCAACGGATGATAGTTAAGAACGAAACGAAGAATCGAGCGGGCATACGACGCATTGTCTAGTAAAATGCACATAACTTTTCACTCAGAACTCCATTTGGGCTCCACAATATATCGTTGGAAAGCTATTTGAAAGGGATACAACTTGCATGTTTTGCATTTTTGCGAATTACCACTACCGTAGGGCAATGTGCGGCGCGCCTGCGAAAATTTCCTGCAGCCTGTCAGAATCAGTTCTCTAAACTTCCCCACAAGCACACCGTGTGGCGCGTTGCCCCATGCGGCGCGCCTGTGCAAATTTTACAGAGCTAGAGTCCTATTTCGCGCAGGAAAAGGTGTTTCGTCTGGGCCCGACCCTATTTGGTATAAATACATGTAAAAATGCTATTTTGAGGAGGGGGACATACTTTTGACATAATTTAGACCTAAGGAGGATAAGGAGACCAGGGATTCGACCTAAGGAGGCAAGAACACACTAGGAGCAAGGCGGAGAATTCTTCTATGGGTTTTTCACTTCCTTCTTCCTATTTCCATTATTGGTTATGAATTCTAGTATTGTAGTTACGCATACTATTATTAATAGCTAATTTGTTATCTAGAGTTTTGATAGAACCTTTTGTAGGATAAATTCTTGTTATGTTTTTTATATAATTGAGCTGTTGGATTTCTCTATTTGTTCAACTACGTTTATATTGTGGTTGGTTGAAGAGCTCTCAATCGACTGTGCCTATTTAGTGTGTATTACTCGGGAGAGAGTGCATATTTAGGTAGTTATTAAACAACATCACTCCTAACGTATATGAGGGATCAATACGGAGGGTTTAAAGGTGGG